GAGTGGATGGATGGGTGGAGGGTTGAATAATGCACATTTCCTGCAATTTTCTATGAATTTCTAGTTCATTTTATTGCAGTGGCATGAAGTGAAATCAACATCTGTCAGCAAAAAAAAAGAAAAAGAAAAGAAAAACACAACAGCATCTGTCTCTCCTCCAGTTGTCACTGCCCTGTCCACACACAGAGTGCGATCTTTGACAAAACATATGTGCACAGAACCTGTGAAACTACAGGAAATAAACAAGCGTTGCAAAAGCAATGTTACATTAAACCTCGCTGTGTAATCAAACCAACCATCAGGTTGAGGTAGGGACTCAGCCCACTTAAGTTCTTCCACACCAAACGTCCCACAAAGTTGGGAGCATGAAATTGTCCAAAGTGTCTTGGTATGCTGAAGCACTATGAGTTTCTTTCACTGGAACTAAGGGGCCAAGCCCAACTCCTGAAAAACAACCCACACCATAATCCCCTTTCCACCAAGCTTTACACTTAGCACAGTACAGCTGGACAAGCGCTGTTTTCCTGGCAACCACCAAACCCAAACTCGCCCATTGGATTGCCAGACAGACAAGCATGAGAACACGGCTTCAGTGCTCTAGAGTCCAGTGCTGCATCGGACACTTTGAGTTGTGCTTTGTAATGTAAGTCTTGGATGAAGCTTGACCAGGAAAACCCATTCCATGAAGCTCTCTATGCACAGTTCTTGAGCTAATCTGAAGGCCACGTGAAGCTTGGAGGTCTGTAGTGATTGACTCTACAGAGAGTTGGTGACATTTGCGCACTATGCGCCTACTCAGCTCTGTGGTTTTATGTGACCTAACACTTCATTTATGAGTTGCTGTCATTCCCAATCAGTCCTGCTTTTTTAAAACACTTTACTGTAGCAAAGACATTTCATGACTGGTCTTGTTGCTGATATTCTATCACTGTACCATGCTGGAAATCTGAGAACGACCAGTTCTTTCATAAATGATTGTAGAAACATTTTGCATGTATAGGTTCTCGATTTTATACACCTGTAGCCATGGAAGTGATTGGAACACCTGAATTTAATGTTCTGAGTGGGTGAGGGAATACTTTCATCAATATAGTGTAGGAATACCTTTCTTTGTGTGGGCAGACAAGTCCAAGTCAAATCCAAGTGTTATGAAACAGGCATGTGGCTGACTAAGATCAGACCCAGATGTAGGTCTCAGCAGGCAGAATTAAACTCAAAGCTCAGCTTTATTAGCTGGCAACTGGCAGAAAA